TTTAAATGTTGTAATTGTACCAGCCTCCACCACTTCCTCTGGCAGCTCGTTCCATACACGCACCACTCTCTGTGTGAAAAAAGTTACCCCTCAGGACCCTTTTAAATCTTTCCACTGTCACCTTAAACCTATGTTCTCCATTTTTGACTCCTCCACCCTGGGGAAAAGACCTTGTATATTCACCTTATCCATGCCCTCATGATTTTATAAACCTCTATAAGGTGACCCTTAAGCCTCTGACATTCCAGGGAAAGTAGCTCCAGCCTATCCCGTTTTTAATGGGTCGCACATTATCATTTTAAATGTTTACATTTTAAACTGTATGAGAGGAGAGTGCTGATTGTTTGGCAAGTGGACTCTGGCAGAAGTACTGCTATGGAGAATGTACCAGTTTGATGCCTCCTAGCACTGCTGACCCAGTTAGATACCTGGCAACACTGCAGCTTGGATGCACCATCATAGGATGTGCCATGGCTCAGGCTGCCAGTTGAATGAGATTGTAACCTCCAAGCCATGGTGCCCTCTAAGTTAAGGCACATTGTTTGGAGTACTGTGCTGGGACTCGGTAGGCATTCCCGAAGATCCATGGCGGAGGTGTTGAGAATTCATTTGTTGCTGGCTTTGTGACTACTGATACAGCCATTATAGACATAGAGCCCCTCCAGTAGTCATGGAGTGATGGTAAACGAGGACTCCACTCAGAGACCTGCCAGAATTTATTTGGTTGCTTCTGCACAATGCGTTGGTTTCTCATGACCCTGGGAGAATGCAGGTCAGGACAGCTAGTGGCCTTAATTTGACATTTATTGGCACAGTTGGTAATTGGGTGTTACCATGTTGCTGAGCCTCCTATAGTTAGCAAAAACTGTGATCTGGAAGATGTCGGACTCTGTTCTAATGCCTTGTATCACCATTTTCCAGCCCTCCTACTCCTCAGCCCATTTCCCTGTCTGGTTACTTTCAATTACTGACAACATTGTCGGCTTTGAAAATTTACCTTTAACAAATGTGGGAATGCATTCCCTCAGAATTTAATTCCAGATGGAAATTAAAAGGAAACTTTTTTTCGAACTTTGTGTCTCAGTCTCTTATATCTGTCTGAATCCAATCTTTCTTTCTCTTCATTTCATTTACTATACCCAATTGGACACAGAATTGCCAAACTTGCACTCCCTGGCACGGGATCTGTTGTGATGCAGTAAGAAATAAACCCTTTGGGTTTACTGGTCTCTCTTGGAGGTATGGACGGTTGTAGGGGTTGGTTTTTGTTTTACTAATGTACTTTATGATTCAGGACATTTGTTGCTCATTAACAATTCAAATTGATTATTTACAGCCCAGATAATGAATTGGGGATACCAAGCTGTTTCAACAGTTAGTTTAAAAGAAATTAAGAACATAAGTGCATGAGAAATTTGAGCTGGAGTGGACATCACCATTTGAGGAGATAGTGACTGATCTTCTATCTAATATGTCCATTATATCCTTTAGTGACCAAAACTCTGGACTTGAATATGCTCACTGACTGAGCATTAACTTGCTACTTTCTAGGACACAGAATTTCGAAGATTCAACTCACTTTGTGCGCAGAAATTTCTCCTCAAATCACTCATAAAGGGCTGACCTTCTATTCTGAGTCTGTGACTCTCGATTGTGGATTTCTCAATCAAGAAACAATTGTGAGAAATGTACATATTCCTATCGGATCACCTTTGACTTTTCTAACTCCAAGGAATACAGGCCCAGCCTTTCTCTCTTTAGAAAAGAGTGCATTGGTGAGGTCTGGAGTTTTACCTCCAGTTAGTCTCCTTACAACTTTAGAAAGATATTCTTGTCTAAGAGAAAGTCGGATTGAAGTGCTTCCTGGAATGAGGAATGAGCTTCCTGGAATGTATATATTTCTATGAGATCACCTTTGACTTTTCTAAACTCCAAGGAATACAGGCCCAGCCTTTCTCTCTTTAGAAAAGTCAAAGGTGATCTCATAGAAATATATACATTCCGGGAAGCTCATTCCTCATTCCAAGAAGCACTTCAATCGGAGTTTCTCTTAGACAAGAATATCTTTCTAAAGTTGTAAGGAGACTAACTGTAGGGAGAAGTCCAGACATCACCAATGCACTGTATAATTGTATTCCCTTTGGAACCAAAGCTAACAGGGCACCTTCTTCCTTATTGCTTCCTGCACCTATATATTAGCTTTCAGTGACTCATAAAAAAAGAACACAAATGAAAACAATTCCTCAGACTCTCCACCATTCTAAACAATTCCTGCTTTTTAAATTTCTCCTACAAAATAGATGACTGTGCACTTTTTATCACTAAGGAGGCAGTTCTGGGCAAGCTAATGGGGCTAAAGGTAGACAAGTCTCCTGGCCCTGATGAGATGCATCCCAGGGTACTAAAAGAGGTGATGGGGGAAATAGCAAATGCACTAGTAATTATTTACCAAAATTCACTGGACTCTGGGGTGGTTCCCGCAGATTGGAAAACAGCCAATGTGACGCCACAGTTTAAAAAAGGAAGTAGACAAAAAGCAGGTAACTATAGGCCAGTTAGCTTAACTTCGGTAGTGGGGAAGATGCTTGAATCTATCATTAAGGAAGAAATAGCAAGATATAAATTGTCCCATTGGGAACACCCAGCATGGGTTCATGAAGGGTAGGTCATGTTTAACTAATTTGGTGGAATTCTTTGAGGACATTACTTGCATGGTGGACAATGGGGAACCTGTGGATGTGGTGTATCTGGATTTCCAGAAGGCATTTGACAAGGTGCCACACCAAATGCTGCTACATAAGATAAAGTTGCACGGTATTAAGGTAATGTATTGGCATGGAGAGAGGATATGTTGACTAGTAGAAAGCAAAGAGTAGGGGTAAATGGGTGTTTTTCTTGTTGGCGGCCAGTGGCTAGTGGTGTGCCTCAGGGATCAGTGTTGGGACCGCAATTGTTTATAATTTACATAGATGATTTGGAGTTGGGAACTAAGTGTGGTGTGTCAAAATTTGCAGATGATACTAAGGTGAGTGGTAGAGCAAAGTGTGCAGAAGACACTGAAAGTCTGCAGAGGGATATAGATAGTCTAAGTGAGTGGGCAAAGGTCTGGCAGATGGAGTACAATGTTGATAAGTGTGAGGCCATCCATTTTGGTAGGAATAACAGCAAAATGGACTATGTTTTAAATGGTAAAAAATTGCAGCACGGTGCTGTGCAGAGGGACTTGGGTGTCCTTGTGCATGAATCGCTAAAAGTAGGATTGCAGGTGCAGCAGGTAATTAAAAAGGAAAATGGAATTTTGTCTGTCATTGCTAGAGGGATGGAGTTTAAAAACATGGAGGCTATGCTGCAGCTGAATAGGGTCCTGGTGAGGCCACACCTGGAGTACTGTGTGCAGTTTTGGTCTCCTTACTTGAGAAGAGATATACTAGGACTGGAGGGGGTGCAGAGGAGATTCACTCGGTTGAATCCAGAGTTGAGAGGGTTGGATTATGAGGAGAGACTGAGTAGGCTGGGACTATACTCATTGAAATTCAGAAGAATGAGGGGAGATCTTATAGAAACATATAAGATTATGAAGGGAATAGACGAGGTGGAGGCAGGGAGGTTGTTTCCGCTAGCAGGTGAAACTAGGACTAGGGGGCATCGTCTCAAAATAAAGGGAAGCAGATGTAGGACTGAGGTCAGGAGCAACTTCCTTCATCCAAAGGGTTGTGAATCTGTGGAATTCCCTGCCCAGTGAAGCGGTTGAAGCTACCTCGCTGAATGTTTTTTAAGGCAAGGCTAGATAAATTTTTGAACAGTAAAGGAATTAAGGGTTATGGTGAGTGGGCGGGTAAGTGGAGCTGAGTCTCAAAAAGATCAGCCATGATCTTATTAAATGGCGGGGCAGGCTCGGAGGGCCAGATGGCCTACTCCTGCTCCTAGTTTTTATGTTCTTATGTTAACCTTATTGTATTCCTTTGACATGATTTTGGTCCCTCATGCTTCACGTTATAAATGCCCATAAAAATCATTCCTATTTGTGCTTTTCTTTTGTATCTCTATTGCTTTTCTGTTGTTTCTTACCTTCTAACTGGGAGTCCTTTAGACTCAGTTTCTGCACATGTTGAATTGATTTTGTAGATCTCTCACTGCCCTGTCAATTTATACATTACAGGCTTTCCTGGATTTCCGTGAGTGGTCATATTCCATGGAAATGAAGCTGACTGAAATTTATGATCTTAGTAGCTGTTCTAAGTTCTTCCTTTACGTTGAACCTGATCATATTTCTCTCGCTATCGGATAAATGTTCACCCGCTGTTAAACCATCAAGTAAATCTGCCTCTTTGCTAGATTGAGTATGGGCTGTTACTGACACCCGTGTCCCACAAGTGAACACAAAACAACATTGTACAGTAATCAACCAGATGTGATTCCCATCTTACAGAAGTTGAAACATGAATCAATCACAGTTTAATCAGTCAGTGTTGGTCTCAGCACAGCGTGAGCTGGCAATTGTGACAAATTCAGAATAAACAGGCAGCATCACATCAGTCAGCGACTGATTGTTGTGTTCAGAAGAAATCAAAAAAGGGACTTGTTTATTTTGTCTCCTTTTAATTTGAAGCATTTGTTGTGCAAAATTAGCTTTCATCCCATTATATAATTTGACACCTACTTTGCAAAATATGAATGTCCACGAGCTCTCCTAATTGACCTTAAATGTTACTGACGTTTTGAGGTGAAACCGACAGTGCTGTATTCATAAATTCAACTTCTGCCAGCTGTACTATCCTATTGTGTTTCGGCCTGCTATCTGCTCGATATGTTGGTCCGTCCAAACTCCTGCAGCTGTTAACATAGCTCATGAATGGGATGGGTGTCAGGTAAGTGGCTCATTTCTCTGATCATCTGCTTGTCCATTGTGGCATCATCGTTGGTGTAATAATCTGAGTGGTTTAAGCCCTCCCTCTGCACAGTACGGCCGGCACTGACTGTAACTGCCTGTGCAGAGGAAGCAAATATTAATTGATAATCACACCCCACCCCACCCCCCAAAGTTTGTAGAAATTCAAGATCAGCAAGCACCTTCTCTCAACGTGTTTGCACATCATCTGGTGTTGGTCAACATGATCAAAATGATGTCGAATCCTGCTGTGATCATTGACAATGGATCCGGGCTCTGCAAATCTGGGATAGTGGGTGACAGCATCCCGACATCAGTTATTCCATCCGTTGTGGGCTGCTCCAAATCGACAAAGGGATCACGCAATGCCAATCTAAAAGACTACTACGTTGGCAAGGCAGCCCAAGCCAGAAGAGATGTCTTGTCTTTAAAGTATCCGATTGAGCGTGGCATCGTGACTTCTTGGGAGGAGATGGAGATGATCTGGAGATACATATATGGTTTTGAACTGCGTGTCAAGTCCAAAGAGAGGCCGATCTTGCTGACTGCTGCCCCACTGACACCTTTCTTTAACAGAGAAAGGATGGCCGAAATAATGTTTGAAGGTTTCTCAGTGCCAGCAATGTTTGTTGCCATCCCAGCCACGTTGGCACTTTACACCTCTGGCCGTACCCGAGGCATAGTCTTGGATAGCGGCTATGGAATAACGGATGCTGTGCCCATCTACGAAGGCTACTACCTTCCAGACGCTGTGCAAAGGCTGAACCTTGCAGGAAGCGACATCACTGAAAACCTTTGGAGGCTCATGTTGGAGAACGGGCACTCTCTTGCCGAGAAAATGGAGACAGAAATCGTCCAGGAAATCAAGGAAAAGCTCTGCTATGTCGCTCTCGATCCCAAGCAGGAGAGCAAGAAGCCAGCTGAGGAACTCCAACATGAGTATCAGATGCCAGACGGCACTCAGATTGTGGTGAAAAACGAACTGTTTGGCGCCCCAGAGTTACTTTTTGCTCCCGATAGTATAGGATTGAAGGAAAGCGGAATCCACAAGCTGATGTTGAGCAGCATCTCCAGATGTGAGCAGCAGCTGCATAAAGAACTCCACAGTAACATGCTGCTGAGTGGTGGTTCCACTCTCTTTTCAGGAATGGAGGAACGTTTACTGAAAGAAATCAAGCTGCACACACCCAGTGGGATACAAGTGAAAATCATCGCCCCACCAGAAAGGAACTACTCTGTTTGGGTGGGAGCCTCAATTTTAACAAGTTTAGCATCCTTTAAACACATGTGGATCACTCTCAATGATTACAATGACTTTGGGCCATCTGTGGTGAACAAGAGATGTTTTTAAAAGCTGTTTGTCCCAAAGTGTGACTATTGAAATCAAATTTTAAAAGAAAAATGTATGCGATCAAATACTAGTTCATAGCTCACGATGTCTTGAATTCTGGTCAAATCAACAAAAGATTTGGAATTAATAGTTCTTGAGGGTAATTCTGGTTTTTGGTTGTATTTCTTGGCATGCTTTCTTTGTACAAATGGGAACAGTCCTGTATGATGGACAAGAGAAAACTGAGGTTAAGAACTATCTGTATTAGAGTGGCTAACTTTTAAAATGAACCTGTAATCTCATTTTCTTCATTGTAACATTGCATGTAACCCTTTTCTTCCCCCTTTCCTGTAGACTTCCTCTTAAGTTGTAGCATGTCTTGGTGTAATCTGATACAATTCCAATATTGTTGTCACAAACAAAAACATAAATTGCTGGAAAAGCTCAGCAGGTCTGGCAGCATCTGTGGAGAGAAATCAGAGTTAATGTTTCGGGTGGAGTGACCCTTCCTCAGAACACATTTACTGTTCTTAGACCATTACGAGAAAGGCACTATTGTGTAAAATTAATCATATTCCAGATTTTGCAGGGCCTAACATTCCCACTAACCACACAAAGTAAAATATTTTGAGTTTGATTCATACTCTGTGGTGCTGGCTGATATCTATCAGGCCATCACCTATACTCCTCAACAACAGAGGAGTTAAGCCAACACATTTTTTCCCACTCTGATGACCTTACTCCAAAATGCACATGGATGTAAACCACTTCAGCGGAGTAATGTTTGGAGTTCAACTCTAATGTGCTCCATGGCTGCAAACATACCTCACACATTCCGTGGAACCTCAATGAGTTTGAACACTCAGGGTAATAAATAGGGGCCACAGTTCTGCCAATAAACTGATTGGAGGCTTTTAGAGCAGGGGTTAAATGAGCCATGTGCATTTCGAAATGTAAAAAGAGAACAGGATAGGTAAGGAAGAAGGACAAACTGACAGAGGAATTTTCATCCTTTTGTCTTTCATGTCTCCCTGCTAACATTTCCAGCAAACTCCACCCAGAGGGACTCCTGATTTACAGTAACATTCTGCCACAGTCATAAAACCCCTACAGTGTGGAAACAGGTCATTGATCCCATCAAGTCTACACCAACCCTCCAAAGTGCATCCCATCCAGACCCACGCCCACTACCCTATCACCCTGCATTTCCCGTGGCTAACCCACCCAGCCTGCACATCCCTGGACTCTATGGGGCAATTTAGCATGGTCAATCCACCCCAACTTGCACATCTTTGGACTGTGGGAGGAAACCGGAGCACCCGGAGGAAACCCACGCAGACACGGGGAGAATGTGCAATCTCCATACAGACTGTTGCCTGCAGCTGGTATCGAACCCAGGTCCCTGGCACTGTGAGGCAGCAGGGCTGATTACTGAGTCACTGTGAGAGATTGGATATTTCAGGGAAAACTGAGCCCCTGATTTAAGCCTGGCTGCCAGCCTTTTGCGATTTGGCACAGGTGAAAACATTAATTGAAACAGAAGTGTTTTTAATTTCCTATCCTGACTGTGTACAGTTGGTCTGATCCTCCAAGTCTATAGTATGCTACCCATAAGTATTTCAAATTGAAAAGGACAATAATCCCTTATCATTGCACAACGTTTGGCAGGTATCACAATGCCTTGTCTCAGCAGCTCTGGAAATATTGTTGGGACTTTGATGTAAGGTCATTTCATCTGCTTCCCCCCACCCCCTTGAATGTGTGTGTTACAAAGTTTGGACTCATGCAATATGCAATGTTGTGTAAATGACACAGTGTAAATCTACAGTACATTTTACCACAGTCCAAACATATTGTCACTTTATTACAGGATAACACTTTCACTCCATTAATTGTAAACAAGAGAGATGTTCAAAACTACAAAGGGCTTTGATAGAATAGATAAAGAGAAACTTTTAATTGGCAAGAGAATTGGTCACAGGTTTGAGAAATATGGTAAAAGAACTTGTTTTGGACATTGAGTTATGATTTGGAATCCAGTCCCTCACAGGCTGGTGGAAGCATTTGCAAAAGTAGCTTTCAAAAAGAGATGGATACCTGCTGTACAGAGGTCAGGTCTACACTCAGGGGGACGAACATTTACAGAGTTGATTGAACATTACCGCACACAGCGGAGATTCTCTCTGGAACGTTATGGATGTAGTTCCAGTTCCATGTGATCCCACATCACTGTGACTTAGCTTCTTACACACATGCTCAGTAACCATTTTTAGAGTAAGGATGTAGCTATCTACTCCACATCTTCGCCCCAACTCCCACCCCATTCTTTCACTCTATCCCTTTTAGCCATTAACATTTAACCCCCGACATTCAACTCCTTACTTCCACTTGCCTCTCTCAAGTCCTGAGGGTTTAATGCCCCTCAGTGTTCCCAATCTCACCCTCCTTTGCCATTTTTATTTGTCCAATGTTTATGACAATTAAACTTCCCATGGTTATTGCAGTACCTTTCTTCTGACTTCACTGTCATTTCTTGATTTAGGAGTCCACACCTACCTTCTGAAGAACATCCCGTCCAGACCCACCCCATCCCTTTAAGTTTGAATTTCCCATGGCTAACCCATCTAGCCTGCAGATCCTTGAACACCATGGGCAATTTAGCATGGCCAATCCACCTAGCCTGCACGTCTTTGGACAGTGGGAGGAAACCAGAGCACCCGGAGGAAACCCACACAGACACGGGGAGAATGTGCAAACTCCACACCAGACAGTCACCTGAAGCTGCAATCGAACCCGGGTCCCTGGTGCGGTGAGCCATCAAGCCATACCTATGTTCCCTTTCTTCTGGTCCTTACAAAATGTCAAATACCTTTGAATGTTTAGGAAATAGCTTTGGTCATCTTGTAAAAATGACTGTGTAATGGCCAATATAAAAATTACTTTATTTGTATTTTTGCTGTCAATATGCTCATTGTGATCTAAATGCTACAAGCATTCAAAGAGAGAGCTTTTAATTTTTTTTGCACCTTGCCCCTCTCTGACCCTCATTGCTGATATGCTCGTCTGTTTTATGCACTGTGCCTTCCTGTCACACTTTGGTTATAACTTACCCATATCCCAACTTGCCTATTGCATTGTGCTTTCTCTTCTCCTTTTTCCAAGTCTACACTGTCTGAAGTCCTCCCCCTCTATGAACCCTCTATGGCCCTAAATGCACAATTCTCCAGGACACTGACCCCAGCTTAGATCGGCAAAACATCAATCTAACAGTATAGCTTCTATTCTCAGTACTAGTGTCAGTGCCCCATGAGTTGAAACCCAACCTGAAATGTTTTGCAAGTAAAACTGAGCAGAATAATCTTCACCACAACAACCATGGAAGACCATTCAATTTTTTAAAAGACAACTGAAATCCACTGGTAAAACTGCAACGAAAATGATTAAAGCATGGACAAGTTGGACCAAAGAGTCTATTTCCATGCAGTGCAGTTCTATGGCTCTATGACCTTATAGAGTCTGCAAAATCATGAGAGGCATAGACAAAGTAGCTAGCCAAACAGCGTTTCCCCAGGGTAGGGGAGTCTAAAACTAGAGGACATACTTTTAAGGTGAGAGGAGAGATATACAAAACGGTCCAGAGGGCAATATTTTCACACAGAGTGTCGTGAGTGCCTGGAATAAGGTGCCAGAGGTAGTGGTGGAAGCGAGTATAATTTTGTCATTTAAGAAACATTTAGACAGATACATGGACAGGATAGGTATGGAGGGATACAGGCCAAATGCAGGGCAAATGGGACTAGCTTAATTGTGAAATCTGGGAAAGTTGGGCCAAAGGGCCTATTTCCATGTTTATGACTATGACTCTAAATCTGCTTGAATGTCAGTAAGTCTCAATAATACCGTCTTGGGCTTGTCTCTTATAAAATGAAGCTACAAGAGAATTTGAGTCACAATTCCAGCATCCTGGGAGTGAAATTCTATCTCCATCTGTGGGTTACAGGGCTGGGGTCAGTGGCGCACAACATTAATTGAGGCAGTTTATCTCTAAAGGGAAGAAAATGAACAAAATTAATTATTGAAAGTCCGTGATGAGATGGATTGAAATTCAGAAGAGTGCAAAGCTGCATTTCTATGAGGCTGGTAAATGCTTCCAGAACAATTTACATTTGAAAAAAAACACAAAGTCAGAGTCTATAATTATCTCCTGGATGGCAACATCAGACTGATCAAATTGGGACCATCTGTCAGCATATTTGCATACGGTTACGCTATTCTTCCAGCAGCTGAGCTGCAACAGTAAGAATTCATCACTGATGAAACAGCTTAAAGGGAACAAAAATCCCAATCAGTCATTGTGACCAGGATGGGCACAGAAACACCATGGTGCTTTCTTGCCTGCCATCTCCCACAGCTGCCTACTCATTATTGCTCTGCTTCCCCTCAACCTTTCTTTACTCAGTCCATTTGATTCAGTTTGTGAATGTCCAGAAACTGATTTACCATTAGAGTCCTTTCCCATCCCTTCTAAAGATACCAGTGTTCAATTGTACAATGTACACGTCATGTTAGGCTGGAAAACGTGCTCAGGCCGTTATACAGTCCATTTTTAAACTATTTCAAGATTTTAAAATCACAGTTGATCGATCCATCTTATAGACCCTGTAACTTTTGTGAATTGCATTGTGCATTTTGATATAACGTGGCCTCGATCAACTTTCTTTTTGAGTAGTCTGCACAAAGTCTGAAGGGGAAGATAACGTCCTAAAAATCCTTAAAACTGCAGACCTCGCTCCTTCAATGTTGTTTCTGATGTTCACTCAAATCAGCATCATTCTGACACACCACATCGCAATAGGCTATTTGTCTGCCTTCATTCAGTTTGACTGTCAGTGCCACACAGAAAATATCGCTGGGTGTTAGCCCTTATATATCCCTAATTTGACTGATCCTTGCTGGGGAGATTGTTATATTCTGTCAGACATTTTCAGTTAGATCCACGCACCTGTTTTACACACTCTCACTGGCTAAATTACACAACTTGCCAAGTAAATCACACATCACCACTTCCTTCTCCAAATCACTTCCTTAATCTGCTTTCACACTTTCCACTTTCATGGGCATAATTTGGGTCCTTGTGAAGGTGAGGAAGTACTCATGTTCTGATTTCCAGCATCCGCAGTTCTTTCGGTCTTTATTAAGTTCTCATGCCTATTGCCTCCTTCTCTGAACTTCTGCCTTCATCGCTTTAACAACTAGGAACCCAGTGGGAATGGTATTATGTCCATGTTTCTGTTGGTCCCTAGACTTTCAGGGTCACTGCTTTCATAAACCCTACCT